GTACTACCAATTTCAGTATGCAATTTGAAAACAAAAAAAATACTTATAATGTTTGATATTAATTTTATGACAGCACATAATTTAATTTATAGTAATGCTATTAAAAATATTTAATAACTATGCATGGTAAATGTTTTTATTAAACGATATTTTTCGATTTAAATTATAAATGCAATTATAGGAAAATTAATTAATGAAATAATCTTTCCGATAGTAGGTTGGTACTGAAAATCATATTGTTATGTTGTTAATTTTAAAGCTGTTGTTTTTGAATCCTCTGTATTTTGTTCGAAAGTTAATAATATTCGAATAATAGGTATTGATATTCAACATTGTGATGATAAAGTATTCGCTGTCTACTTTTTTTTGAACTTGGAATTCGTTACTGGATAAATACTTTATTTTAATATTATGAGAGAGGAATAGAACTATTTAAAATATTGTTGTGTAGTAATTATTTACATTTTACAATTTGGTAATATTAACATGAAAAAACTAGTATCAGTCGATATGAAAATACAACAAAGTTTTCACTTAAAATGTATGTACACTAATATAATATGTGCCATTCATTATAATTTTCGCAAAAACTATTCATTTCGTAACTAGTTTCAAATAAATAATACATGGAAGATATACCTATATATATAACAATTACTTAAATTCTTGAGTACAATTTTATGTACTCTCAGAGAATTAACCAGAAAGTTAGTTCCTATTTAATTATAATTGTATTTCCACCGTTAACTAAACATTAAACCCTGTTTTATGTTTCTGTAAATCACTAAGTATTTATAAAGTTTGAACATTTTAAAATGTATAGTATGACTACGAGATTTACGAATAGGAATAGGCCATTATAAGTGTTACTTATTTGGTCAATTCAGATCACATATTATTATATAATATTGTATATTAGGTAACAATATAAATATATTATTATTATATTTTTTAGTTGTAATGTTTATTTTCAGTTTTAATATTAAGTCTATAATATTATTATTAAATATTAATTGTTTGTAATGGCCAAAGAAATCAAAGTTATAATATATCTAAAAGATTGGAAAATAAGCAATGTTAAGACAAATTTGTAATTTTTTAACCATTTCATTAGGTGTAATATTAAAATTACGAAGTAACATAAAATTATGATACTCTAGTGATGGTAATATAATAACATAATCCAGAATTATTGTCTATGATAAATAGGTGTAAATAAATTAAACAATAAATAAATGTACTATCTATATAACATATACAATTGATTGAAAATTATAATAGTAAGAGAAGAAATTAGTATTTGTCTTGTATATAAATGGTTATCATTGGTTTACTCAAGCAAATTATTTAAAATCTGACATCAAACTGTATAGCTTTTAAGAGCAGTACTCAGAAATAACTATTTTTAATAAATCAAGGAGATATAATAAATAACAATTATTATAGTAATAATATTAATAATGGTAATGATTTAAAAGTAATCTCTACACGTAATATAAAAAATAAGTTGCAATACAAAAAAAATCGAACACGGGCGAAGCTGAGTTATTCAGTTAGTATCTATTATATTTTTATAAATGTAAAGGTAGTCAACCATACGAATTTAGATAAATTTGTAAATAAGTTATCATGATAGTTATTTGACTGATGTGTGAAACTAAAATGATAATTATGGACAAACGATTTCGAAAGTCTTGTAAGTTGTAAATTGTAATTATAGCCGATCGAATTTCGGTGTCTATCATATATTAGTATGTTTGGTAATATTTTTTTTAGACTGTTCACAAGTGATTAGTTAATCGTCTGTACTTAAAACGATGTCAACGAGAGAGTTACTTCTCACAGTACCTTGAATTAGTTTGTCATTTTTTTGTCAAACAATAACTTCAGGGTCAGTAAATGTGTTGCGTACGCCGTCATAATGGGACTATTTAGTGGCCATACAATTATTATTAAAGCAACGGTAAATCTGAAGACAAAAATGTGCTGCGATAAACGAGTCATTAAAAACATTTGAACGTTTCCCCAGATCGTCGTCGCAGCTATCCAAATAATTAGGAAAGTGCATGCGTACATTATTATATGTATATACCTATATATAGGTATACTTCCTCTTGCACTTCAGAGTAGCATTATCCTTAACCCTTATTTCCGAATGACCTTTGTTGTCAAGTATTCTAAATTGCAATAGTGTATTTATTTTTTTTTCATCTCTGCGACGCGAACACAGGAATCCGAGACGTCTTCTTCTTCTTCGTCTCAGTCGGCTAAACCATGTTTGTCAATGTTCTCCCCTCATACCAGCATACGCGCCCTGCTAACAGCAAACAAAAAAAATATATATATAAAGAAAAAAAGAAAGAAACAAATAACCATCTGTGCACGTTTCTCAATAGCACGTCCTTTTTATTTAAATGTATTCGTCAGCTTGCCCGAACAGTTCCTTTTAATCTAAACTCATTGTAAACGAGTTTTTCCTGACAACCGCTCAGCCCTGAATTTTATCCTGAAGTTTGGAAAATATATATAATATCATATCTGAATACATTTTTATTTGCCAAAATTAAAAAAAAAAACCCCGAGAAAAATTTCAATTGTATAAATTTTAATTTGGTAATATTTTGACTATTTTAAACATTTGTTCAAATACAAATTATAATCGTCTTATTGAGAACCATATTAGACATGTCATAATACGTATCAGTTGGCAGGAGGCATCAATTATACTTATTACAGTATTATATTAATTATATAGGTACATGTTTTTAATTAACTTTTGAAATAACTTCATACGTTTGAAGAAGTCTATATTTGTGACAATATAATTATTTATGACTAAAATATTATGTTTTATAAATATATTTGGGTGAGTACCCGGTACAAATTTTAGGCATTTCAAACGTTTAAATTACGTAAATTTAGAAAACCACAGTCGACATGTGCGATAAGTACACATACATGCGTTACAATTTATTTACGTGGAACGTCTAATATACTTTTTGACCCATTCGGTTTTTTTCTATAACTTCTAAAACTGAGATGAATTGTTAAATTCTTCTGTATTCATGCTCAGATTGTCGATTTGAATTAACTAATTATACTTTGTATTTCTATGCCAAAAAAAAAAAAAAATAAACGTAATAGATACACCACATACAATGTACATATTTTATGGTATTTATGTATATATATGCATGTTATACTTGTGCATGTCAGCGATTTAAAACACGTGTTCGTGTTTTTTTTTAAGGAAGTCTGCAAATTTTTAAAATTAATGGTTACTGAAGGTCTAATAAGTTCACGGACGTCACCCATTAGCTTAAAAATAGTATATGTTAATATGACAACTGCAGTGGATGTACCATTCACATGTATGTGTTTAGTCTGCGTGTATTATATAGCTCTACAGCAATTCTTTGATGAGACATTTTTATTTAAAACAATTTCGAACGTCACAATGTATGTGTGACCTATACATATCACATACTCTCTTAATAGAAAATAAATAATTAAAAAACGCCTAATCATAATAATATGTATTAATTGTAATTGTCATCACTTATCAGTTATGTATTGAAAAAAATGTGATCGATTAGTGTTTAACAACACTAACATATTATTATAATTTCCAATACAATATTAAATGATCATAAATAACAATTATACTTATTATCATCTGGGCACTGTATACCTACAGTCAAATTTTGAAATAATAATAAATTAATAAACAATTTTTGCAATTAATTTATTTTCATGTTAAAGCTATATAAAAACAATCATTGATTATTTGATTTGTAATAAATAACCTAAAAACATAATTCATGCGCAATAAATAAATGATTTAAAAAATGTATTAACAAAGTTAGATTCAAATAGATTCAAATCAAAGTAAACAACACAATCATTTAATTTATTTTTCTTGACTCTAGTTATATCGATATATTTGTTTTAAATTTCACAAACCACCAATCTTAATTATTATGTGATGGAGACGTGACACGTGGAAACAAAACGAGACAAGTTGTTTGCTTTAGGTTCTTGTAAGATGATGTATGAGACAGTACGATTAGTTTAAACTTGGTAAAATTTATTCGGTATATGATTTTTCCCGAAAAGAAATCATTTTGAATGTTCACTTGAAAATGTATTAATTTGATAAACTGTTATGATACCCAAAACAATAAGGAAAAAATTAACTGTTTAAATAATTTGTTTGTGATTTTTAGTACGTTAAAATTAATAGCTGGAAGTTATAGTTACTTCACAGTAGTTGTTGCTAACACTCACATAATTATGTTTTGAGTAATATATTAATTATAGTGTAGGTATTGTATATTATTAATTATAATTTATATATATTGTGATGATATACGATAATAATATGTAGGTAAGCATATAGGTACTTGTTTTTAAATGTTATGTTAAAACTGAAATAAGGATTGAAATATAGTACTGTTTATTGTAGATATTAAAATATAATTGTTCTGCGTATAGTGTGTCGTAGTTATACGTTTTTATTTTATGATATAATTAATATGAAACATGTACGTGCACAATATTTTATTGTTCCATTGTCCTGTATATATATTGGAGGTACTAACTACTATTAACATAATATTATACCATTTTTAAATTTAGAAAAATGTGTAAAATTGTCCGCATCACATAAACAACTTTTTTTTTTCATTTTCATTTTTTGATTATGTTAATTTTCGGGTTTACCAGCGAAATCGAATGTTTAACATTGAATAATTATTGCTATCTTGGCGTTCTATATATTATGCACAATAGAATAAATTACATTTTTCAAACGAAATAAACTTTTTAGTTCTTTCTCATAATTGAAATTTACAGAATTTTATGTGGATACGAACTTTAATATTTACTTACTCCCGCTGTATTGTTTATGCAAAAGTAAATGTAAACTCATTACATTTATGCAAATGATTTGTGTAATAAATTTCGTTCGTTATACATAATTTTATGTGTTTCTGTTGCAGGTTTTATTGGGATTTGTGTATGCTCCTGTTATTGGTTGCCAATTTGATTATACTTCCGGTTGGAATATCTTTTTTCAACGACGACTTCGATACAAGATGGATAATATTTAATTGTTTATCGGATACGATATTTCTCGTGGACATTATCGTAAACTTTAGAACTGGTAATGTAGTAATAATTTATTATATTTGTAATAAATGAAGATTATGATTATAAAAATGAGACTAAGGTTTTGATAAATGATGATATTGAGAAGATGTAAACTCTGTATCAATATGGTTCCCGATTTGTACGTTAAAAAAACATAATTATATTTAATGAAATGCATTTAGCTTTACTCCTTTATACTCTGCTTTTTTACGCATAATATGGATTCAATTGTTAGTCTGTGAATACGAATTAATGATAAAAGAAGACGTTAGGATAAAGTATAGTACAGTATAGTATAGTATTATAGCCAGCATCACATCAAAACATTGCTTTGAACCTATCTCATCTTACAAAAGTCGTAAGTTTTCATTACCTAATTAGTCAATTTACAAGTTAATGAGAGCAAAAATTTAAAAGATTTTTTAAATTTATTAAATATGATTCAAAAATAATCATTAATATACCTACTTCAACCTATTAACTTTTAATGAATGCAATGGTTTTAAATATGAAAATATAATAATATCGTTGAACAAAGAATGCATCTTTAAGTTATACGTATTAGCATATTTAATATTATACATTTTTTAAAAAGATTATATTGTCATAAAATTGATATTTGTGTAGTTGAAGTAAAAATTTTAAAATGCGACCGCATCAATATATTGCCATAATTCAAATTTATAATGTATTTTAAAAAATAATGATAATACCTACTATACATTTTAAACAATAGTTTATTTTCAGTTTATTTTTATTTAAACGATGGTTTATTAAATGTAAATTTGGTAATGTTCTTATTCTATTAAGTTACATTTACTATTTGAAAAAATGTGGTTTTAAACTATTACCTATCAAGCACTGTGTATTGGAATTAAAACTTAAACGTTATCGACATAAAATATATATAACTATTTAAGAAACTAAAATGGATTATAATTGTATCAAGTAATTAACTTATTAGGGAGTGGCATACACTTAGATATATGAGAATGATGAACGTGTTGTGGTATTAATGTATTAATGTATTATTATAAGAAGTTACGTTGAACGATCATAATATATTAATACAAGGATATACACAAATTGTAATTATTTTTGTAAAGCCACTAAAGTACCTATTGGGTAATTATACTTCAAGTTTTAAATATTTACATTTATTTGGAATATTAAATTTCTTGACCTTCGTTTTTAGCGGTGTATGTATAGTATTTTTAATGAAATACATTTTTAAATTTGTATTTCGTAATTTTTAATCACATATTTACTGTAAATAAAATGTTGTGGGTGAATATATTATGTACGTACTATACAATATATTGATATTATGTACGTTATAAAAGATAAATTTTTGAAAAATTTCTTTTAGATTAAACAATATTTTATATTATTATATGAAAAAAATTATCGTTGAAATAAAATTAATTGCTTAATACGCAAATAATGATAAAATGCAAAGAGCGTTTTTATAATTCTTAAGACGGTAAACAACTTATCTAATTATGAATTAATTTTGTTAGAGTATTTCCATTCACATTATTAAGTAGTGTTTATGTTTATTCAATTTAAATTGAAAATTCGTAGCCTTCGTACAATGATAACTGGATAAGAAATTGTATTTTATTCTGTTTTTTTTTTGTGGTAACGAAAGTAGATTACTGACTTTCTGGTATAAGTTTAACGTCATTAAGTGTTTGTTTTTTTTTTGAATATTTAGTACCTACCTAAAATGTATCGTTAATATTAAACAACTGAAGTATCATCACCCAATATCAGCACGATCCACCGGGTGGTGATTTAAAGAGGTTATAGAAATTCAAAAACAAACTCATTATGAGACACGTTATTATCCCAACGAACATCTTTTGTAGATTTAATATAAGAAATGTTGTGATACGATTGTTATATTTATCTGTATAAAACCGTATAGGTACTTTATACATTATAAACTATTTTAACGTCCTGAAAAAGTTTGCACACATTTCAAAAAAATTATGTCTTATAGTTAATAAATAAAAATAAACCAAGGAAGTTGTTCAGTAGATTTTAAATGTTTCTCACCATTAAATAGTTCACCGTAATGGGTGTGTTAAACTTGGATTCAATGATCATCATCGATTTCTAGCAGAAATGAAGACTGACAATATTTCTACCTGTTTTTTATTAACTATTTATATTGCCGTTCATTAATAATGTAAGTTTAACTAATTTTTGCTAATAATTATTATCAAGAACGGAGGAAATGGAATAATAATAATACATACCTTAAATCAGTCGAAAATGATTCAAATTAATTTGAAAAATGGATTGGGCTTAGAAAATAAAAATAATAAAAATATTTTTTCACAACAGTTATTATATTTTAAATTACATCGTAATAATTAAATTTATTTTTTGTTTCAAAATTCAATTTTGTCAAAATTAAAACTTGAAATTTCTATTAAATAAAATTATCTCAGTGTAATTTCTATATTTTAGAATGCTGTAAAACTAGCTACTGAAGAATTTTGTACTTAATTGCTAAGCCTTAATTTATACAGATTGATAAGTACAAAATAATATGCAAATTGCCATGATTTTGTCAACATTTCGCCACAATTTTAACTTCAAACACTCATAATAAACCAATGTACATTTACTGTCGAATATTTTTCTAATTTGAGTAATAAAACTTTTAAAGAACATTAAATTACATTTTGAAGATTATTGATCAGCCATACATTTTTCTCTCCAAAATGTATTATAAAATATCGAAAAAAGTATAAAAAGAGCTAAAATGTTACGAAAAATAAACAAATAATAAACAAACTTGTATAATATAAAATATATTTTGTGAACAATTTAAAAATATCTATGGTTATTCGTTTTTGAATAATTAAGTAGTTACCTAAAATTAACAAAATATAAGATCGATTTTTCTTTTATAGATATTCCCGTTTATCTGTAATATTACATATTTACATGTATGTATTCATAGTTTTTTTCATTCAAAATATTCTCGTATATTTTTGTAAAATATATCAGAATAAAAGTTTAAAGTAATACCAAAAATGTATAGTATAATTTTTTAAGTTCAATCAGTTATATAATACGTATATTTTTTTGATAAAATATTAATTTTTCAAAGTTCTATCGTTAGGTACAAAATATTTAACTCAGAAGTTATAACACATATTTTATATTAAATGCTTGCTTATAGGTATATTATATTTTACTTGAGATGTTTCTTTAAATATTCGTATTATATTATTTTACAGGTATCTTACAAACGGACAATTCCGAACAAGTGATATTAGAACCAAAACTGATAGCTAGAAACTACTTGAGATCCTGGTTTTTCTTGGATCTGATTAGTTCCCTTCCGTTGGATTATCTATTTCTTATGTTTAATCAGGTATCGTATTGTAATTACGATTTTTACTAATGATAACAATAACCAAAGTGTTATACATAACATTATTTATGCGTATACAGGATGTGGGTGAAGGTATACAGATTTTACACGCTGGTCGAGCTCTTCGAATTCTTCGACTTGCGAAGCTACTCAGTTTAGTTAGATTACTCCGTTTATCAAGACTGGTGCGATATGTGAATCAATGGGAAGAAGTATACGTAAGTGGTTTAATAATATTATATAAGCTACGTAATTTTTGGATGTAAATAATAAACAATTTTTAAATTGTACATTAATTTAATTGGCATAATAGTATGTTTGGGTGTTCAATATAACATATGTATGTATTATATACAATAAATCTGTTATTATGACCAATTTTTACTGGTCTCTTGAATGTCATTATAAGCGATTTCTACTGTACTGTGTACTATGTTGATGCAAAGTGGTCTCGGTCATTAGCATTAGACATGTTTAACAGTATTATTACATAACATTTCAAAAAAGTAAATCAATGATTGGCCCTTTGTATGTTGTTCACAATTTATTTACAGTAAAACCTCTCTATAACGGGCCCTCTATAAGACGAAATCCTCTTTATAAAGGAAAATGTCAATAGTTTTCTACTATTCTTTCAATAGATTTTCTACCTCCCTATAACGGAAAACTCTTTATAACTGAAAACAAATTGTTGTTCCCAAGCGATTCCGTTATAGAGAAGTTTTACTGTACTTGTATTTCATATAATAACACGCCGGTCATTTGATAAGAAAACATTATAATTTATGTCTTATATATGAGGGAATACAACAACAATAACAAAAATAAAAATGATAAATAAAAATACTTTGATCTTAACCATAATGGTCATTCATTATAAATTATAATATTATGAATTCTAGTTATGTAGGATATATTTTTTTTATCCTAATAAAGTTACAACCCGAAACATGTCACAAACATAACAACTAACTGACAAATAAAAAAATAACATTTATAAATATTTTAAAATAAATCTAGTACTTATATTGATTCTTTATGGTTTTTTTGTTTGAAGTTTCAGTAATTAGGAGTAAAAAAATATAATGAAAATTGATTCGTGAAATTTTAAGGAGAGCTGTTGATTACTATAGTATAATTGTAATACATTATTTTAACTGCTTAGATATAAAATATAATATTCCCTTAAAATTAAATATAGATTTCAACTATAGAAAATATGTAATTAAAAAAATTAAATAACAAAAAATGTTCACATTCTTGACATAAAATAATTTGAACAAGAAAAAATTATTAAACGATTTAGAGTAACACGCTTTTGCGACCATTACTAAAGGTATTATATATTCGATAGATTATTATTACTGAGAACAAATATTCAAATTTATGCAATATTATCATAGCATGTTTTGGTACTAAATATTATTTAACACAAAATTGTTAGAATGAAGCAATTAAAAAATTCAATTTTATATTTAAAATTAATCAAATTATTTTATGTTATATGCATTTAAAATGTAATGTCATAAAATTAAAGTAATTTTGCAATGAGTCCATCCCATTTTAATAGAAAAAATTTTGTCCAGTCATTTCAACGTCGATAATATAGTACATGACAATTATTTCTCTCAAATAATTGATCGTGTAATACTCCATCGCATTTAAACAAAGAAATTCTTTAATTTTATTATGGGGGTGGTTTTTAGTGAGACATTGATCTAATTGGAACTTAAGGGCTCAAAAGTAATCCTATCATTTTTACAAATAATCGGAAAAACCGTAAAGTTAAACGCAAAGCCAATAATTGTTGAAAAAAACGGTAGTTTTGTTGGTAACTCGAAAATTAGTGATTGTAGGGACTACCTTATTTCAATAAAATATTCATATTATCATTCATTACTCATGATAGTAAAATATAAAAATGTTTGGCTCTTTTTGTACTACATAGTTAGATATTTAACATTTTAGTTTGAATTTTTAATCGTTTTGTTTTCAATTTATGTAATTTTTGTTTTTAAGTAAAAATAGGTTTGAGGGAAATGCACTTGATATAATAACCTATACTCCAGGTTGTATCGTTTTGAATACAATTTAATTTTGCTTTTAAGTCTAAGATATTTGAATGAACAAGGAATGCCAACTTGATATTATGTCTAACTCGTACCTTCCCAAACTGAATTGAAATAATGTTCTAATAATTAGCATGATAAGCTTATTATAATATTGTCGCTAACCGCTAATTCGTGAGATTTAATTTTGTTTGTTTCGACCATCGCGCGTATGTTTTTCGCAGCACGAACACTAACATGCCGGCTTGTTTCCGTTTATTATTATTTTTTTTTGTAGATGTTAAGAATACGATCGGATATGTCGTCGGGTCAACAAGGTCAGATTGAAAGCCGGGCCATGATCAAGGTAATAATCGTCTGCGCTTGTTTTTCCTCTTCTTCTTCTATTTTTTTTTCTGTGATCATTTATATCACTACAGCTCAGTGTACCTACTCATCATCCATATACATCACTTTATTTTTAACTTAAAAATCTGAACACGTTTTTATTATATACCGATGAAGAGGAATTTCTGTTCGGAGTTTGATACCCACCAAAGGAAAAATGTGATTTGTCGGCGATTTATTAAACGCGTTTTTCCTCCCACGTCCTATGTGGAAAATATGTGACGTGAATTACAAAAGCAGACGTGGATGGGTCATTTTTTCGAGCACACAAACACACGCACCATATATTCACATCCGGCTTCGACACATTCATTAAAACCGCAATTTAATTCGAAGTGCGGTATACATTATAGTACACCAAATATATAATACATGAATTATATTATACACAATTTGAAACGTAACGATCAATAAAATAAAATATTTGTAAGTGTTTTTATCGTCATAATTAACGCACGGAGCAGCACCAACTGCAGCACCAGCCTAAGCAGCTTTTGGGCCAAAATAACAATTATTGTTTAGTGCATTTCCATAGTTTGATCACCTGGTGAATATTTTGGCTGCATAATTCCCACTGCATATAATATAAACTCACTCTTTACGCTACTGAAACGCCTTTTTTCTAACAAAATACCAAACCATCCAATTTAACACACACAAGCATATGATTCTTATGTACTCACTCGCGTTGCTAAAATAATTATTTTGTAAATATTTGTTTTTTTTTCGTTTTTCTTGTAACTAGGTATATTAAGTTTTTTTATTTTTGATTCGAAATCATTGTGTGGCTTATGTGTATGCTGTATATTTTACTTCCGACGAATATTGTTTGTTTTGGTAAAAATAACGCTAACAGATTGTGTGTTCTTTATAATATGAAGTGTTTATGTAATCATTTTTTTTTTGCTCCCAATATAATGCATGCATTACAATAATTTTCAACTATTACATCAAATGCAAATGGAACAGTTTTTAAATAATATTTAATCATTTTATAAATCGTAGTATACGATAATCATACGATTTATTAAATTATTTCTTCGATAATTTAAATCGGATCATACGATGTGTGAGGTGTAACGGTAATTCTGTTAACAATGAGTTTTAGATGATATACTTCGGGGAAATTGTAAATTAATAAAAAAAAAGTAATATGTAACTCACATACAATCACAATATTAGGAATTTGATGTATAAAAATTACGGTCAAATTTAGTTGTTTATGCTATAGGTAAAATATTTAGGATATTATATTATTGTTACGTCTTGTTTGTATCATTTAGTACCTGCCAACTTATAATTAATAAAAATGCATATTAGTTGCTAAGACATTTTTTTAAAGAACAGAAAATAATTGATTATACCTATAACATAAATATTATCTTATAGTTATACAAATAATATACAAATTATTATTATTTTCCATAGTAGAACATATGAAAAATGTAGATCACACAATAATTATTGATAACTTTATCTTAATGTGAGATACAATAGTGAACGAGCTTGTGTTTCACAAACAAAATAATATAATTCTTCACGTAAGCATAGTAGAGTTAATGACCTTAAAACTTTTGAAAGCAAAATAATTTAATAAACTTTAAGCCTCCAAATGCATGACAATGACATCTTGTAAAAAACTTTGCTCGTAATTATATTTTGTGAAAACCTTGTTTTATGATAACTTTTTATTTTCGTTATTTTCACACAATTATTTTAACTTAATAATATTTGCAAGTGTTGGAATTTAATTCATCACATTAAATGGACTGTAAACAATTTAAACGGTAGACGACCTGTATAGTAAAGTAAAATTCAGTCAATACATCAGCTTTTTACTTAGACAATTTTGTACTAAACTTTAATAACCTACTATTAAATTAAGCAGCCAGTTGAACTGACGGAAATTAAATTTAAACCTATGGTACTTATTTCTATATGATATATAAATATATTTATATATATATTATGACATGTAACTTTTTGAGAAATTGTCTAATTATACCCATCTACTTATTTATTAAATAAATAAATAATTTTATAATATGCTTTATATTTTATTAATTGATATTTTCATTTTTCGATAAATATTTTTAGTATCATCATTTACCACAACTATATTAGTGTAAACACTAAACAAATATAAAAATCAAAAAAATTAACTATAAAATGTATTGATAAAGTATAAATATTTCTCACATGGGGAGTGAGTATTCCGGGGCTGCATCTGAACAAAAAACAACCGGTTCTCAATTCCAAAAACCCTTAAAATAATTCAAACCCGATCCAAATTAAAATATTTTCTAATTAATGGTAATTATACCTTTAAATAAAACATAAAATGAGTTTTGATTATGGTTTTTCATTTATCCAAACTTAACTTTAAACCTTTAATTTACAATTTGTGTAATATTAGAACCTTTAAATGAATTAATTGAGTACTGGGACCAGAACCAGAACCAGAACCAAACAAAACAAATGATACAATTCTTTGATAATATTTACTTAAAATTCATATCTCATACGTCGTAAAATAATTTAACAAAAATATTCAAGTTCAATCTTGTGGATACTTTTATGGCTATTGCCTATTGAACAATATTTGAAATAATATAACATAGTGTATTTATAAAAATATTATGTAAAGTTTTTAGCATTGAATACAAAATATAACCAACAATTGATGGGGGTAAAATATGAGGATACATTTATATATTTGTAATTATTTATGAGTATTATTATTTAAAACAATTTAAAATATGTAAAAAATGTACTTAGACTTTTTTTTTAAACCTAAGCTATTGTTTTTTGTATGCTGCTTTTATGTAAATGGTACCATTTTTAATTTGAGAGCAATAACTATTAGTGTTTTCTATAATGGTTTAAGATAAGCATTTTTCATAGTTTTAAGATTTAAATATTTGTTGAAAAACTTCATATTAGGCTAAATGTCTTAAATGTTAACAATAATAATTAGAATTTTAAGTATTTATATAAAGTAGGTGTAATCATTATAAACTTTATTTTAATTACAACACTACTGCTGCAAATATTGAATTCATAACAATCATTGTTTAATACAATTTTCGATTTTCTTAAACAGTAATGATACATTTGATATATTACGAGAACAATTTATATACATTTTACAATCAAAAGCATATGGTACGTAAAACTTTTAGAGTACTTTTACTACTACTTTAGACTTTAGTACTTTCTATAAAATAAAAACATATCCTTGCAAAAATATAAATACATATTTTATAAAAATTGCTCGAAAACGTGATAGAATAGTGAAATAGTTATTTGTGTTTTTATTATGAAGTATATTGTACATTATATGTACATTATTTTAAAATGAAAAATGTTTGGATTTTTTTTGAAATTTTTTTTCAAAATTTGTGGCAATTGGCGTTAAAATAAATAATACTAAATAATACACCTTTTATCTGTACTGATACATATAGAATAAAATTGAATAGCACCAACGCTTGTGTATAGTTTGTTTTATATCTGTTAATAAAATACATATTGATTTACTAAGCGACATTTAACAATAATGCAGGTATTATTAATCGCCTTCATTTACATAATAATAATACTATCGTCATTATAGTTCCTGAACATGGCCAGTGTGTTTATGAGGATATTTAATTTAATATGCATGATGCTACTCATTGGACATTGGTCTGGATGTCTACAATTTCTCGTTCCTAGCTTACAAGGATTTCCTGCCAATTCGTGGGTTGCCATTAACGAGTTACAGGTAATTAACATTTTAAATATTTCACTAAAAATAATATAGTTTTATTAAATTTAAAAACAAATTAAAATACTTATTATATTAGAACAGTGAATAAATACTATTATATTGTATGCAATACGTACTCCAGGTAAAATTTATTTTTAACATGTGTTAATAGAGCAAAGGATATTAATATAATGATAACATAATAATAATATTATGTACAGTTAATTAGTTAATATAAATATTGTTTACAATAGTTATAGTTAATATAAGTTTTAGATGTGACAATTTGAAATATCAATTATCTCTATTTTCTGACTATGAACCCGTTTTATTGCAAGTAAAACCATTATTCATTTTTCAAATTCCTGATAAAAAAATATGATTTTTCTGGTATTTTATGATAATTATTAAAACATAATATTTAATATTATTGTGCCTGCCTAATATTTTAAATTTAAGGAAGGTTTAAATTCGTTTAAATAATACAGTGGTTGGAAAACTGCTTATGCAAAAATAATTATTTATTTATAATAATTGTTAAAAATGACACATCTTGGATGGGTTAAATTATGTAAACAAAATTTTTGATCGATATCAAGACATAAATAATAAATTTAAATACCCTCTCAAGGTAGTAAAACTATATTAGTATAGGCTGATTTCTTGCTGACAGCTTTATTATGTCTTATGAAGACATTTTTGAAAGACTTTTTGTCTGTAATAATTAAAACACTTTATTTTGTGTCGCATCTTCATGCAGCTATTAATTTTGCAAAGTCATAATACCTACTTCTAAATTAGCTGTGTCAGTTAAGCAATGTCATATTTTTATAATTATTTTATTATATTTCCTGTTTAAAATTTATTTCAATGAATACCAGACCTACTGTGAATCTATGAGTCAGTTAAAATTACATTTTAATTATCTATACTATATAATTGAAATGTATTATGTCACATCAAAATGTCAAGAATTTATCAACATTGTTCAGATATGAATACCTATATTAACATACTATAGGGGTATAAATGTATGATAATACTTATTGTGTAATTGTGTAAGTATATGTTATTGAAATATAAAATATTTGATCAGTATCCTTATAAAGTTATAAATTATTTTAAATGTAATGTATATAAATTTTAAAAAATAAAGTAAAAACGTATAATAATATTTTGTATCATAGACTGTGTGATTGTGTACCTATAGTTGAGTTCAGATTAAAAACAATGTAAATAATTATGTGAATGATGTACGTCGTAGTAATATCACATGTAAATATATATTAATTTATCAAGTATTATAATTTATACTCGATGTTTATAGTGTTCAAACAAATCGTTAATTTAAAATATATAAAAAAATTATCATCAAATATATATTTAAATATTATATTACCTACACAAATAATAAGGTAGATCAGATTAGTTGATCATACGTGAATACAATTTGTCTAGCAGCCTTAAATTATGATGAGTTTCATTTTAAAGTATTCAATTAATTATTACCTATTCATAATAATATTTTATTTACTTATTGAGTATAGTTAAATGTAAATGCAATAGTATACATTTTATTCTTTTAAAACTATATGTGACACGTGAGGTAATATGTATGCAATATGAACATCACAATGCAGCTTCATAATTTAAATGTTTTGTTGGAAACCGGAAGCTTCGTGATGTATAAAAATAGAGCTTTATTGTGTTGGATTTCAATGATGTGATGTAAAAACTTAGCATTTGTAGAAAACTATCGGAAGATCGAAGTCGTATGGATTGAAAATGACGATGAATCTAATAATTTAAATTTTATCTCGGCGGATTACTTTGCGTATGCTAGTCGGAATTCTTTGAAAGAATTACACTCAACTATGAATCAATTCACCGAAATTATTTTTTTTTAACAATTTAGTTTTCAGTATTTATTTTTTAATCTATTTTGTATTACCTATCTTTTATGAACAAAATCCAGTTGAATAATGTAGTTGTGTATCAAAAGTATACTTATTTTACCTGGAAAATACTGTAAAACTATGTACCTAAATAATTGTATTGTTCACATTATATATAATAACCTACTTTGCACAATGATTCAAACTTGATTTTCAAGGCGTTTATAATAACGTTTTGTCACAGAAGTATAAAACTAAATGTAATAGTGTTAATATTATTTGTTTATGTTACAGGATACCAATTGGGCTGAACAATATTCGTGGTCTCTGTTTAAGGCAATGTCTCATATGTTGTGCATTGGTTATGGTCGGTTCCCTCCACAGTCGTTAACCGACATGTGGTTGACAATGTTGTCTATGATTAGTGGAGCCACGTGTTATGCTTTATTCTTGGGGCACGCCACTAATTTGATACAAAGCTTGGATTCATCCCGTAGACAGTATCGTGAAAAGGTCTGAAAAGTCGTTTAAGTGTTAAACTACACACTAGGTTATTGGTTGTTTATAATAATTATGTTTGATTGTTAAAATATAGGTCAAACAAGTAGAAGAATACATGTCATACAGACGGCTGCCGTTAGACATGCGCAAGAGGATAACAGAATACTTTGAGCACAGATACCAGGGAAAGTTTTTCGACGAAAAGTGGATATTGGACGAAATGTCAGACAAACTGCGAGAGGTAAGTGTGGTAGATTATAAATTTCAACTGCTGGGTGTATCAAAATATTATGTAAACCTCGCATATTTTAAATTTAGGACGTTCGTAATTACACTTGCCGGAGGTTAGTGACAAATTTGCCACTTCTGCAGAATGCCGACACCAACCTTCTCACTGAATTGACTGATTGTTTAGAGTTTGAAATGTTCCAGCCTGGTAATTTTTTTTTTATGTATTTTTCACTCGTAATTTTTCTGGGGAACAATAGGTAATTTTTTGTTTATGTTTTGTTTTGAACACTGGCTTTTTTTTTTAACGAGAAACACTATGGTGGCTGTGTATAGTTTAGTGGGGAAAGGAGTGAAAGAAAACAACAGCGTGCATTGCAATAGTATGCAAGATTTAACGATTTTCAAATAAGAAATTCTGCTCGGGGCTGGCTGATAGATGGCCTAGCCGTTGGCGGGATGAAAGAAGAGTGGGTAGGAAATAATAATAATAATAAAAAAAGCGTACAAGAATAAACACACGAGGAAAAAATACGTAACTATCTCTGTGAAGAGAATGCAAAATAATTCAGTTTTGAAACAGTACGCGAGACACAAGAGATGTGCTTTAAGCACATATAGCATTTTTTTGAATATGAGTAGCTGCAGGATATTGCAGGGTAGTCTTTTCGTGGTTGACTGATCGTGTACCTTAAAGATATAAATTCGTAAGACGGTAACATTCGTTGTCAAGTATTATGAATACACAATTGCACCTAAGCGTTTTTCTAAACGATTAATATGTTGACAAAATTCATAGTGTAAATGACTGCAAAACTAATTAATATAATCATTGATGTTTTCAAAAATTCATGCACGATGTCTTGACACTTAAGATAAATTAAAAATGTATTCTATTATTTCAATGAAACTTAAACATGAATGTTATGGTATACATTGTACTCAATAATTGTTCCCCCCTACCGTTCCAAAAAATATACAATACAAACTACAATACAAATCCTACTACAGCTAATGGCCTCAGTTGCCGAAGCTTAAGTTCAAAAAAAAAAAAAAAAAAATACATAAAATAAGTATTTTACAATTAAAAATCTAATTTTTAGAAAAATGTTAAAAGTCAAAAACGTTTTCTTAAGTCAAGTAGTTTATTTTTCATATTTTTTTAAAATACCGATATTTGTATGGAGTAAATTAATTTGAAACGCAATAAGTAATAACTTTAAAAAAAATATTATTTTCAGGAATTTTCAGACATAAGTCAATTTACTATCCATGTCATTTTCATAATTTTTGTCACACATTGAATCTTTATTTTATTTTTCATTCATCAAATCTTTCTATTACATCTTTTATTATATATTATATTGTGTTTGGTCAAAGTAAAATATTTAAATTGTAAGGTTAAAAAATAAAATACTAAATTATGTTTTAACAATGAGCTGTTTCGTTTTAGACTAATGTAAAAATAACAATTAAATTAAAACACTAGAATAACTATAGTTTTGTTCGTTTGATCATTCCGATACTCGGGCATGAACAAAACATAAATGCACTTTTATGTATTAAAACATATTACAATAATATTAAACATCAGTGAATATTATATCAAAATACTAGACATAGTTGAGCAATGTTTGGTTTGTCATTAAATGATCGACTAATGAGACTATGGAGGAATATCATATTCCGATAATCATTAACCATTCAACGTTCGATTTTAGTAAGCAAAGCAATTATAATAAATTATTATACTATGTAGTGTGTGTTTTGTGCACCTATCTTGTGGAATAAATAATATACGCACAAATTAGAGAATATTATATTGTTATTTCATCCTATTGTGTTGTTAACTCGTGGTTTCCAGATTACATTATAGACTTCACATCTGGCCGTCCAATAACATGTTTTACATCTCTAATGAAGCACTATAATTTAACATTATAAATGTTGACTAATTGTTAAATTAAACTGGATATTATTATTATGGTATACAACAAGCGTCGAGCGTATATTGTTATCAATTGTATCTCATGGTTGTATAACCTATATAATACTGCTATACCTACTATTAATATTACTACTTGACATTGTACCAACCGAAACACTTAAAAAATAATTACGTTTCACCCTCCATTCGATAATTCCATAAAGTATACTGATAAAATATTTCGGTGGTGGTTTTAATAATTCTAACGTAAAAAATGTTTCCTAATCAATTTAGAATAATAATGAACGTATTGATTTCCGGATTTCTTCTACCGGTTGATAAAATGGTCTTTTTCGCTTTAAAAATAGTATTACGATATATCACGAGGACAAGCCTAAAAATAAAGCCACCTTGGGATTCGATTTCTTTTCTTCTTTAAACGATAATGTTTATCGGTCTTACCATCAATATTATTCGCTGACAAGTATAAAAAAAAACAAACTACATTATCGTGAAAAAATAAATCCATCTTAGATTTCGTATATAGTGAATGGTCTTAGTGAAATATATATGTGGCATTGTATTTAAAACTTCTAACCTTTTAAAGTTTTGTGATAAAAAAATAAATATATATTCAAATAATATATAACCAAATCTTAAGCGTAGGTAAAAAATATGGTTAAAAATAATCTATAGAAAAAGGGGAATGTTTAAAAAAAAGTTATATATTATATTACATTATACCTATTGTACTGCGTAGTATTTATACACTGTGGTATAAATCATGGCGCGTTCGAAGAATGTTGTTACGAGAAGTCGGAAAATGTTTATCTGAGAAGGATGTGCGCGTGCTGTCCGTGGTTTGTCAAATTTATATAAAAGCTCTATAATAACTTAACAACAGCAAACCCATCTGGTGGTAAATAGGTGAATTCTCCCAGGGAAAAACCCGTGTAACCTAATCTCGTGATGCATTCATTGTGACAGCGGTCAGTTTGGCTATATTTTCTTTGCTCATATTTCGATACCCGCGAGTTAAAAAGAATGTTACCTGAAACTAAAATGCCAACATCGTCGAAGTCGTTTCCAAACCTTTTTTTCGCATTATTTAGAACAAATATTGTGTACGAAATATTGGCTTTTATAGGTGCGCGATGAGGAGGAAAAAAAACATAATATCAGGACGGAAACGACGGATGTGAGAGGAGATGGGGGGGGGGACTTCGTCTATCGAAAAAGGGGTACTGTTGTCGAGACGGTATCCTTATAAATGTGTGCGATTTTCATAAACGTTTTATATTAAATTCTTTTATAAACGTCTTCAAACTAAAAATACTGCGTGTTAAGACTAAATTTATTACTTTTTTTTTTATTGAACCTAAGCCCAGCGACTAAGGCCATTAGCTGTTGTGGGGGTTATGAACTGTGGTAGGGGTAAAGTTGGTACGGTAGGTTTTTTTTACGATTGTTACGATTGTTACGGTAGGTAGCAAACACGTGTATGTGTAGCAAGGTTTTTAACTACTAAGAACCCGGGTGGTCACCCATCCGGGAGCTAGTAGCTGTGGCCGTTATTTACTCCCAGTCACATTCTGCGACTGGTTGTAGCCAACCCGCCACGCCAAACCCCTACTAAATTTATTAATATTATAAATAATGTTCAAACAGCATAAACCTACATATTGTGATAGTTTATTTTGATCGACAATATCTCTTCGGTCGTTGGAAAAATATTGGTATCCTGCAGCCGAAATATTTGTTTCTTCAAAAATTGTTAGTACCCACTACCAATATATACGACCATATTTTTGGCGCCGACATTTACTCATCCTATTTTAAAAGTGATAATAATATTATGTTATTACTACAAAAAGTATAACTTTTTTTTTAGGAATCTTCTGTTTAGAACATTTCTAGATTCACGTAATTATAACCATTTATGTTCAAACTTAATTTTTTATTTGTTTTTTCGGTGAAATTAAACATTCTCAGATTTTAAACTAGGTAATATTTAAATAATAGTATATAATATATAATATATTTAATATTTTTTCAATGTTTACGAATAAAAATAGAAAATTGAAAAAAAAGTATTTTTTATTTATACGTATCTATTTGAATTTTAAAGTTATTTTTAGAGAAATCTGTTAACGTTCAATATTTATTGGTGTTATTTCATGAAATATTCAAGTAATTCATAATTATATTCTAATATATTCTGTGTTCTAACCACATTAAATCAATAATAATTATTTTATAATAGGTAATTGGCAATTTAACTATTCAATTTCTTTCATGGTTCAGTTATTTTGTGTGCACTGAATGACGTTAAATAAGGCGAGATTGTGTTGAATTTTATGCTCTAAACTTATTCATTATGTTCGATATAAGTTTGTACCTATTTTTGTCTCATTGTCAGTGTGCTTCATATGTCATGACATTATGTTATGCGGTTTTTTAAATTGTATACGCATCACTGATTGTACCACCAATTTATGTATGTACATATCGTATAAATACTTCATTATGCATTGAAAATGATAACAGAATAAATCTCAAATGCATTAAATAATATATGAATTATAATATTTCAATACATTTAATTATTTTTTAAAAACTCAATTATTACTCGTAATAATAGCAGTACTGGTATTAGTTGTAGCATACTTACCTACTACCATAATATACTATATTAGTAAATTATACTGATAGAGTAAATTGATCATCGTAATGTAGTTGAGGTGTTCAAATATTGCATGCGCATTAAAAAAAAAAATGTCAAATTTAATATATTTTAACCTTTTTAACAATTTAGTAGGTAGTTTAATAAGTAAACTGTTGAAGTTTAAAAACTAAAATTTACGTTTTATTGAAAAAAAAAACAGTTATTATTATCATCATACAAAAAGTAATTACAACTAAATATAGGATATTAATTATTATAGTTATTATAATAATTAATTATAGTTATTATTATCATAATTATACAACTACCACGTTGTACATTTAGTATCGAATTGCACTGTTAATTTATATATTTTTCAAAACAGTTTTTCAGTTGGAATAATAATATTATAATGTTAATACGAACTGATTATTGTAATATGCGCATAATTTATTGTTGACCACCGTGTGTTTTCTAAGTTGTTAGTTGAACCTGGCGTATAATTAAAATCTGAAACTGTATAAACAATAGCTTGTCGTTTTATACGTATTAGTTGTGTAATATATGTGTAATGTGTACACCATTAGCTAATTTTACAATATGTTACATTCAAAACTTAATATATTATATTTGTTATTGTGTTGATTTATTAGTTATGATTTGTATAAGCCATTATTACTTTAAACTATTCGTAAATATTTTTAAAATATTTGCTAGACCTAATATAAAAGCTAAATATTTCTTCCGTATAATGATAATATGTGTTATAGTCCACGCCTATTAAATGGCTATTAATTAGAATATATATATTATTGACATCGTAGTTTGTACAAACCCTGGAAAACTTCTGTAACTCAAGTTGTTGAGTTCTAAAGATCAACATCATATTTTTTGGTGAATTCTTACAAAATACAGCATATTTTATTTGTTTAGCTCGTAAAACAATTGTATGCTTGTTGTTATAAATTATAACGGTCTTAAAAAGCTGTATTAAAAAAAAAAATAGACAATTTGTTTACATACTATTTGAATAGCTATAAACAATATTATATTTAATATGTGTTAAGAAACAAAGCTTTTTTTAGTATTTTGTCTTAAAGTGCATTTAACATTTATGATTATAACATATAAAGTTCTAAGCATTTATGAGCTTAAATTTGAATCCAATAAACAAGGTATACGGTCATATGGAGTGATCCTAAAACGCCCATTAATTATTTCATAAAATATTAACGTTTTTGTAAAAATGTCTTTTACAATATAATCTTAAGTCATAACAACAAATAATTTTTTTGGAAAAAAATGATATTTTTATCGTTATCTCCTTTTAAGTTACTTATTTTAATGACAACATACTTTTCCAATTTCGTAGAATTTCATGTATATTAAAATTGACTCATAAGCTAGTTGTTTACAATTAGAGAGAATTAAATATGCATGTTGTCCTTAAAAAAGTAAAAAAATTAAAAAATTGAAACGATCAAAATAGTAAGAGTATATTTTTTCGTTGAAAAATGGTGTTTTAAACGACTTAAATATACGCGAACAAAGTATTTTCAAAAATCGTTAATAGTTTTGGAAATAATGTGTAGTCTTACGCTAAATGAATCATTCGGTACATCCCGGGCTGATAAATGAAAACATATTCATTGTTATCTTTAAATTTGAAGGAAATAGTTTATATTGAATTAGGTACTTTAGTGATTAAAGAAAATGATAGCGTTATACCACCGCAAAACATAACGCAGATTCTGAACAAAATTATTGGATGTTGTATATTTTGTATAAGTGCATCACATGAAAATAATAAACATTGACATTTAGCGTGGCATGGTGAACTCAATTTTTAAAACTTTCTAAGTTTAATATTGCACCGAAACATCTGAGCTGTAAAAGATTAGTTTGATTCACAATTCGTAATCTTAATCAAAAGTTTTTAAGTTGATAACATACAATTTATGAGAATTACGTGGGTGGGTAATACCAAAGGATTTGCGTGTTTTGAGACATATTTTATGTACCTTACGGAGTATAACGACATAACGTATTAATTATACATTTGACAAATTACCGGGATAGTTGGTTTTACATGGTTTATTACTTTACTGTTGTAAATACCTATTAAACGTCAATTATTAAGTTGTATAATATGATATTTTGCGAGGTAGTTGAACGATTAAATAATATAATAGTGCAGTTTGGCAATTTCCAGGCGAGTATTACAAACCTTTAATTTTTTAAATATATTATAATTCGCGGTAGGCAGGTAGGTAGGTTGGTAGGTAGGTACTACAACTTACTTCTCTAGCGCTGCGCTCGATGCGTTTTGATATTATTATATGAGACTTGTCTCGGTACACACGACTGTATTAAAACAACAAATCGAAAGAGGTATCAGTGCTGAGTGAAACGAATCTAAATTTATCCGTCTTATAGGATTTTTCGATTATTATTTGAATTAAATATAAAAATGTGTAATTCCGACGAAGGTTTACGACGTAATGGCACACATTTATCGCCTTAACTTCTCGATTTCCTTTCTAGTCCCTGTATATCCGCCCCTCCATGATTTTGGTCGCCTTCACCTGCAATATAATATTGATTTATAATATATATCTCCATGCTTGATCAAACGCATATATCGCGTTCATGCAAGTAGGCAACCTCGTGCATAATATCATGTCACATGGGGTGTGGAGAATTTGACGACAACTATAGTATACTGATATAATAATAATGTGTAAAAATTTCAAGATACGTTCGGTATATCATTTTCGATTTTAAAGTTTTGGTGCCCTTGGATTCAGAAAAAAATATTGAGCTATAACTTGATTATAATATCTCCGATCACCGCCCAACGACGAATGAACAAAATAGTAAAAAAAACCTCCTATGTGTGTTATCTATAAACCATTTTTGAAATAAATATTAAGCTGTAATTTGAAAACATTATCTCCTACATATCGTCCATCTCCATCTTAAAAATTAATGAGAAATCTTAATAAAAACCTCCCAAGCGTGTTTGATAACTTCCTACTATAAGTCATTTATGAAATACTCCACTTTTTTGCTTGAAAAAAATGCAAACTTTTACATTGTGATATAAACTTTGTTCAATTCGTTTAAATATTTAAATATTTAGTGTAATGGTGTTTAAAACGTCAAAAAAAGTAGAAAAAAATAAAAGAATGAATTTTAAATAGGTGAGTAGTAATAACTAATAAGTAGCTTATTTTTCTTAAGGTTAACCAATTGGTAATGTATTGCTAACAGAAACCAACAAATATGAAGTTATGGTTTTATAGATTACAGTGCATACTGTTGCGACCAAATCAACTTCAGGTCAAAATTACATCCAATCATAATAACAGTTTAATTGTATGAGACTTGGGGCAACCATTTGAACATACAAAAGAAAAAATACCAATGTCTACTATTACTATTATCATCTTCAACAAATGGCAACCATTTAGAAACAAAAAAATATTCTTTTTTCAACGTAAATCTAAACGTCCTTATGTGAGCACCTCTTTAACACTTCGAGTGCCGGACCAAAAATGACAAGACTGACAATTCTGAACAGGACATTTTTTTTAATGTTAATCAAACAAGTTTTACTAGGAAAAAAACATTCTTAGTGCGTTTTATTATGGGTGGCACAAATAAACAAAATAGTGTCACTGTAAAATGTAAATATTAAACTTCTCCAGAATTCTTAACTTTTTCTAGAATAAGTGATTTTCCATGAGGAAATTTGTGTATCATTATCAATACACACAGCACAAATGAACATAATAATATTAGTTGTGTATTGAAATTAATTCACAAGGCTCTCGAAGTGTTAAGATGTGAATTTTGAAAAAATTCTTACTTAGTGTACTACTTACATGGTTGTACGGAGGTGCACGTGCAAAATGTCAAGTCCCCAGCTATCATAGTTTAGGCTCTACGGTGATCAGTCAGTCAGTCAGGACACGTTCGATTATTTATGAAATATACCTTCTATGAAATTAAAAATGTATAATATGACACCAACTATCATTCAAAAAACCTACTATGTAAGTTTGTCAAAAACATAAACTAATAAGACGTCCAATGTGGCAAGACAATAAGATATTCACAACTAATAATATGATATTTAAACAAAATGTATTGAATTTTGATTTTTTTTTTGAACGTTTTACGCGTGTTCTGAAAAATTGGGTCTTAGAGCTTGGGGTAAGTTTTTTGAGTCAAGGATGATATATAAACTATTGGCTTGAAAAGATGTGGCACATATGCACCACCATATTAGATATCTGGTGGTGTGAGTTTGTCGTTATGCACCACTAGAAGATCTACAATACACTCTACTAATAAAGTCAAAGAAGTGGTCTAGGTTATAGCAGTTTTTATAATTACACATTTTTATTAAATAACGAGGAATTTAAGAATAGCTGAAATAGTAATACACGACAAACTTTGCAAAAAGGAACCAATCAATAGGCAATAGACTAATACGAAGAAGGACTCGTAGACAATTGGTTTGAAATAAAAAATGTTATTCATTTTTTTAATTTTTGAAAGTTTATTAGATGATATTAATATGGCAGTAATATTAAGACTAAAACACTATGGAAATGAACTTTTAAAATATTAGATGATTTTTGTTATCTTTTCTACAAATATTAGTTTTAGGTGTATTTTTTGAAAAAAATATGTAATTATGTAAACACGTCTCTGCACCATCATAAATCAAGTGAAATTCTCATCATCGATGTCTAAATTTTATAACAAATTAATAATTATTTTCATTCTGCAGGTGACACGATCATGCGCGAAGGGACAGCAGCCACGAAGATGTACTTCGTGCACGAGGGCGTCGTCGAGGTGTTGGTGGCCGGTGGCCAGGAGGTTGTGGCCACGCTGAGCGACGGCAGCTACTTCGGCGAGACGTGCTTGTGGGCGTCTGGGGCTCGGCGTCCCGTCAGCGTGCGGGCCGACACGTATTGCAACCTGTTCTCGCTATCGGCGACCGCTTTTACCAGGGTCATGGACCGGTATCCCAAGTTCAAGGACCACGTGACCTCCGTGCTAGTCGATCGCGCCAACCGGATGGCCAACATCGGCCAGCGCGTGGTCTCCGGAGACACTAAGCTGTGACATGGCAGCCAATTATTATATGATAATTTTTAGTTATTATATACAAAACTATCGACGAGGAACAAAAAAAAAATTGTCACGTGTTGTACAGTCAGCGTTTCGGTTTCTACATGATAATATTACTCCGATATTATTGTTTTTTATTCTTCTCGACTAACTACTACCACTACCCTCCTCCCCCAACTACCTTTAATAATAATTATATATTATAAATGTGTTTTTTGATTTTTTTTAGAGCTCAACGTTTATTATTGCCATACGATTAAATTATTATAGTAATTATAGGTATTTTATAATTATTAAATGATATTATAATACTGTATCATCATACTATGTTTTACGCAACATTATTATTTTGATTACTGATAAGTTAAAAAATTAAACATATTAAGCTAATTTCGTTTTATTTCTATTCGACGTGCCGCCACCTTCTCCTTCTCCGTAATAATAGCAATAATAATAATATGATTAAAATGGTGTGCCGTGTTGTAAAGATCGACGGTTAAGACGATTGTTGGGGAAAAATAAAATAAATAAATGTTTAGCGACGGACCGACGAAGAATAGTGACCGCCGTCGGAAAACTTCGACGCGGAACAATTGATTTGTTGCCCCTGAGGATTCGAGTACCGGTTGACGTTGGATATTGCCATTGGGTTTATGTGTGTGTGTGGTTTAAGGCTTAAGGGATTTAAACGTTAAGAAAAGTACAGTGTCGTCGTATAGGGTACATCTCATTATATAAAGGTCTTATCACCAGTTTATTTAGAGGAAATTTCGAATAACTTATCCACCAGATCACGCAAATTTTACGTTAGAACTTCCAGACCATAATAATATACGAAAACGTCAGGAGAGTATAATAATATTGTCACTGACTTTATTATAAAAATACTTTATTATTATTATTATTAGGAATACCTTATACTAGGACTTCGAGCCGGAAATGAAAAATAAAAGCATTGTTTTTCCGAATATTTATTTTCATATCGAATGAAAACAAATGGATATAGAATTACGAACGCGGATACGACAAAAATACATTTCGAACCGATGACAAAAGTTTTGACACTTTAATTTGATTTTACCGACGTTTTTTCTGTATGAAATTGATTTTTTTCGCCCTGGACTTCGTGTATTGTTTGACTTGCCGTATTTATTTTATACCATTTAATATTACTTATGCGCAGCCGGGTTGTCTTTTGGAGAAGAAGAAGACCTTTGAGGAATATTCAATGGTATGTAAATCAGGCATGATCAAATATATACTTAGAAATTGAAATTAAAATCTATACTGACGTAGACGACCGTTGTTAAAGAATGCCATAGACAATGACGGTAAATTAATTTGATTCGCAGAACTACTATAGAATGTGAATAATGTATATATACGAGTTGTTATATAATATAATGTATTAATGTGTATTAGAATATTAAATTAACTATGTTTTATTATAATAGGAAACCAATATATAGTGATTTGTGTTCACAGTATATATATTATAATGTGATTGGTTATAAAATAATAAATTAAACCTATTCATAAATTAAATCAACTGATGTTTAGTTTAGTACTTGTATGGTTTATTAATAGTGGTTTTCAACAAAATGACAAGATCATATAAATTAAAAGCACTTCTGCCGCATGGTTGAAAAAGTGACCTAAAATGTAATTCTTTTCAAACGGAATGTGGCGAGCACAAAATTGTTTAATTTAAATTTGTTCCTATATAGTTTATTGTACTCATCCAATCATTAATGAGTTGTATAATTGTTTATTTCAACGGAGAGAGAATAAATTAGTGACATAACAGTTCAATTAACTACACGATTGACGTCTAAGATAGTGCATATACGATTTAGTGTCTTTTAAAATTAAAAACGTTTGCATTTTGATATTATAAAAAAAAAAATTAAATAATATTGTATTATTATGTGAGTTATTTATGACGAGTACAATCTGCCTAAAAATATCAATTTATTGTATATTTAAATATATTATGTATAAGTGGTGTACATAAGTTAAACTTCTACTGGTTTATATTGCACGAAAATCACTTAGTAACAAGATGAAAAAAAACGCATTCATTTTTAGACGATTTTGTTCAACCGATTACATTGGAATCCATCCAAATAGCTTCAACATAGATTTTGGTCGGTCGAGGACGTTTTCATTCCTAAGTATTTAAATATTATAAAGTAAATTGAATTTTCTCAGTATCTATTTGTATGTATCATATTGGAGTCGATCATACGAATTAGGTCAAAGTTAAAAACAAGAGAATCCATCGGAAGTTTTGGTATTTTGGGAATAAATCAAATATTTTATAATGTTTTCAAGGCTACAAAAATATAGGTAGCCAGACTAGTTAATATTGCAACTCGTACAATGAGATAGTATAAGACAAATTATATCGATGATAAACAATTATTGTTAATTTTGTTTGATTTGTAAAATATTGCTCTAATAAAATATAGTTATGATATAATAATATATATAATTGTTTTTTGTATTTGTAGAATATTTCCTTCATTTATGTACTTAGGCTCATGGCTCCCAAATAAGGTTTCAAATTTCATCCTACAATATTTTTAAGTCGTGCACAATATATACATATAAATATTGATTTATTAAGAAAAATTAATGTTTTTTTAATTCACTGACATTATTATCGTACAGAGATCTCATTTATGTATTATAAATTAAATACCTGCTGGCATTCACAACGTATAGGTAATACATAACAATATACACCTATTATGCATATTTTACGATAATCTTTAAATTATGCTGATTATCTTTCAGCCACACATTAAAAGCTCTATTATTATTTTCCAATCAAAAAGTAATTATGTTGACTAAGTAATTTAATTTTAACAAAACAATGACCACACTATCAATTTGTACATTTAATAGAATTAACCGTGAAATCATACTAGAATCTAATAATGCTTAGTGCTCTGCAACAAAAAAATAATTACGAAAACTATATTATACACTACTTACAAAATAATAGTAGGTGTATTATTAGGTGTATTATAATATCATTGATAAATATATAAGATTTATAAATATAATCATGTGAAAAGTACTGACATAATAATGTTGTAAAACTATTTGTAATATTATCGTCGTTAATAAGATATTTACTGCATCAAAGTTTAATGCAATAATTGTAATTTATGTTTAATATTTTATAGAATGATATTAAAACTATATTTTATTGGATGATGTGAACGAGCGAGCTTATAGGACGTTAATTTAACAATTATTAATCAATTTTTAGCTAAGTACTACATTTTTAAATTTGAATTAAACTTAAAAATATTTAAAATCAGATCTTGATCTGTTTGAGAATCAGACGTGTGAACTGTGGACGAATTTTAGCTGTTTTTAATGATATAGTTTCACAATATATTGTTATGATACGATATTCTATCGAACAAATTTTGTGGTACTACATTAATAATTTAAAAAATAAAAATGTATGTATCATAATTTGTTTTTATATACACTCTATACGTATTGACCAAATTCACGTACAACATAGATTAATAATGATTGTTGTCTGACCTGAGTATTTTCAGAGCACGCTCAGTGCATTTAATATTTAATTTCAAACGGGTTGCTTGTACTTTAAATTTGAAACTTGACTCGAGATGCGAACCGAGTAACGTACACATCAAAGAAATAACTACAACGCTCCAGAAATTTATCAGATATGTCAGACGTTTAATGTATAGAATATGTGTTATAACTTATAACTAACTCCACTTACATAGGGAGACACATATAACGTCAGAGCATTGCTAACGGACAACTGTCATGGTAAAACAAGCCTTTGTAAGTATTATTTTGTGTTACATTATACTCTCTCGTCAATAATAATTTTAAAGTGTTCAGTGCAAATAATAGTATTTAACTATTAACTGTTTACTGTTAAAGTTTGCATGCTTAAATATAATTGTAACTCATATCATATATATTGGTCATCAAAAATGTCTGTATAATTATTAAAACCATGGTATTTAAAAATATATAATATTTTGAATATTAACATACAAATATTTGTGATAAATTAAAAACTGAAAAGACAAGTAGGTTGTGATCTAAAAATATTACTAAATGTAATATATTATTATGCAAATTAAGCAGTTACCAAACACCCATGCACATAGTTTACACATATCATAATCTATAGTGTATACGATGTGAAAGAAAAAGTATTTATTAATATCACGGATTATCATTATAATAATTAAATAATAATAGAAATTATAAATATTTATGAATGAAAGGTACATCTATGAACTTTATGGTATTTTAAATTTCAAGGTGTAAGTAACTTTGTTACTACCAACGGATAATTATAATACAGACAATTTTTTTATACCCCATTTTTAGTTTTAAAAAAATGTGTATAATGCCATATGAGTATAGTATTTACGGTGATATTATGTGTTTTAAAACATTTTCATCACGTTTTAAAGCAATAAAAATACTCAGGTCTTCCAAATTTAAGGATCTTTCTGGTGGAAAATTTGATTTAGCTTATACTTGCAACAATATTAGTTATTTTGTTGTACCTAAAAAAAAAAAGGCTAATATTGTAGAGACTTGATATTTTTCACCATTAGGAATATTATTTTTTCTATACACAATAACATATCCTAGAAAATTTCTAAAATATGGTCTTAATGTATGTTTAAAAATTTAAAAAATCATATTTTGAATAAATTAATTATTGAAGAAAAAAAGGGAGGGAGCGTGATTAGTGAATCACTCTGTATGTAAAAATTAAATCAAAATAATATTATATCCACAATTCTATCAATACGTGTAGTGCGTCGAGCAATCTTAAAACAGCTGTTTCGTTTCATATAAATGGTTGAATTATTCATACACGCTCAGATATTTTATTTAACTCATTCGTATTCAATATAAATACCTACTACAAAATGTAAAGTTATTTTTGAAACAATAATATACTTGAAGCAATAGATTGCTTTTGATGGCTCAATGTATTATTCTATCTTATTTTTATGAAAGTATGTGAGATTTTAAGTTTTTTCATACGTGAAAACTTGATTTTTTTGGTACAGATATTTTTTTGGAAATAATATTATTTTTGTTACAACCTATCATAGCTGATATAAAACAATTATTTATTTCTCGTAAAAGAGTAAATAATTTTACCTAAAATTTATAAATTGTAATTTATGAAATGTAATAGACACATTTTTAAATCAAAAAAATATACAATAAATTAATGTTCTGTGTATTTAAATGTATTCATGATTAAACTTAAAATTGTATTATTTATATCCTATAAAAAAGATTATAGTTTTTTAAAAATGATTTCAGAATTTTGTTTTATTTTCAGCGTCAATTCCAAG